CTCTTGCGCCACTTCCTGTAAAATAAATCAACTGAGTGGGTCAGGCTTGGGAGCCTGGTGAGCATATAGGGTTTTCAACCCACAATAATTATATTTAATTTCAACAATCAACAATAAACCCGATTACCCATTCCCGTTATCCTCACCTTACGTTCCTAAAAATAACGTCTATTATAAGGAACCTATTTCAGGATTTTTCATCGGGACGGACATCACTGCAGAGGGGCTTCCTCAACAATAAGTGTCCTAAAGGCAACCATGTGGGGGATAGAGTACACCGGTGAACACGTCGTTCACAACACCTACAGGTAATGAGCCTGCTAGTGTTCCACAGGACAGTCTAGAATAGTCCGTGGTCGTCATCCATACTCTGCTGAATGACTAGAATAACACCAATAACACCGAGGCCTCTCATCTGTTTATTACACACCAATTATCTACCCATGTTCTACCCAACATATTAGTAGATAAAAATATACGTTTTTATACATAGTTTAAAAACCTGTATAACATGTTTTAATCAATACATATTCCACATAACAGATGAGGCATACACACATAACATGTATTTCATAGAGAATACATCAGATCTATAAGATAGAAGAGAGTGAATATACACTCACACGTATAACAACCAAATATATACACCCTAACACGTATTTTATATGAAATACTTCATAATATTGCGTTGGAATGAAAATAACTACACACTCACTTGATCAAAAGATGATCGGGCAGCACTACGGCTTGCAGAAGAGGTGTTTCTCCGTAGATCTGGAAGATCTTCACAAAACCGGGCTCCTCGCGGGCAGCGTTTCGGCTCGGGAATAACGCTCTTCGGGATCCTCGGGGCTTCGGATCTTACTTCGGGGCTCGGGAATATTACCGGGGCTTTGGGGTATAAACGACACACACAAAACGAGGCAAAACTTAGAGAGAGGGAAGAGTTTGAACAAGAGAAAATGGCTGAATTCGAGTTCTATTTATAGGCTGCTGGGTCTGGGATTACGCGGGGCGTACTCGGGTTACGCGGGGCGTACTTTTACGTCACTGCGTGCGTCGACTGGTGGCACTCGAGTATTGGTCAGACAAGTTGCATCTGACTGAGTACGCGGGGCGTACTCAAATTACGCGGGGCGTAATTGACTTGTCAAACTTCTAAATTGCGTAACTTTCGCATACGAGCTCCGTTTTCGACGTTCTTTATATCCACGCGAAGGTCAGACCATACTCTACAACTTTCATTTAGACTCCGTCAGCTAATTTTGACTTTTATTTTTATTATTTATTTTTAGAAGGCCGGGACAGAAAAACTTCGTTATAAATTCATAACTTCTTCGTCTGACGTCCGTCCTCGCCTAACTTGTCATCGTTTCGCTACTAACAACGAGATCTTCGTTTCTCATTTAGATTGTTTCGGATAAAAACCGCTCGATCTCAAATCGAGTATTCGGGCTGCATACTGCCACGTCGAAACTTCAGAAAATCATAACTTCCTCATACAAAGTCAGATTTGGGCGTTCCTTTTATGCATGCTCTCAGTTTAACGAAATCTACGAATTTCGTTTAGATATCTAAGGCCAAATATCGCTCTATCTTAAATTCATATTTTACGTCACTCGGCGTCGTGTCGGTTCTGTCGCGAAACTTCGACAGGTCATAACTTCTTTGTTATAACTCGGATTTTGGCATTCCTTATATCTCCGGAATCCTTGTTTCGACCACTACAACTTTATGCAAAGATGGCGGGCTTATCTCACACTTAAATTTTGACGCTTATTTTATTCTTAACTCATTAAATTATAAAATTAAGAAAATACACACATAAATCACATAATTTAAATAATTCACAAATAATACATTCTTATTATTTCAAGTTGAGTTACAAGGTTAACCTAGACTATTACATTGCTAAAAATGGCAAGCCTAGAAATACGGGCGTTACAGGAACTCATCAAGTCCCTTAGCTGACTCGACGAGTCGGGTGGGGTTTGCCCATTTTTGAGTTGGTGATTGAGTGCAGTGAAGGATTAGGGCTTGATATGAATGAACTTTAGGCTTTCTGGGCATTCGATGGACTCGACAATTCATAAAGGTGACGCAGCGAGTTGACTTGGGATTCAGTGGAATGAACTCGGAAGAACTCGATGAGTTTCTGGGTGCACTTGGCGAGTTGAGGTCAACATGGCCTGTTAACCTTGATTGTTGACCTTGACTTTGACCAAGGTTTACCAGGGTTGACTTTGAGGGTATTTATAGAGTTGTGACAAGTTAATCACATGATGGCTACAGGCAATGAGGAGGAGCAGAGTGTGGGATATCTGATCTCATCTTATCAGTTCAGCATTCAAGAGGTGAGTCTCCTCACCATACAAATGGGTCGAAGTCACCAAGGCCAAACCATTTATGTTATGTGATACTCTACCTGAAGTTATATTATTAGACATGGTAGTTAGTTACATGCTAGGATTGTATGCTTATATGGAAGACCATGGGAGAGCCCATGACACCTGGATGTAAGACCATGTGGAGAGCCCATGACATTCCTACTAAAGACCATGTGGAGAGCCCATGGCAACATGATGTTAGACCATGTGGAGAGCCCATGACTTTCCTATAAAAGACCATGGGAGAGCCCATGGAACTTAGGTGTAAGACCAAGTGGGGAGCCCATGACATCCTGGAGTAAGACCCTGGGGATGAGCCCACGACATCCCTATACGTTACATGCATGACTTATGTGGTATATGTAGCTTTTATAGTTGATATGATATGTGTATATGTGGATTATGTGTGTGGTATGCTCTGGGGAACTCACTAAGCATTAGCTTACAATTTGTTGAATTGTTCCAGGTACATCTGAGCCCAAGGGCAAGGCTTGATGGCGTGACATGCACTCCCTCAGGCATTTCTTATAGGACACTCTGATAATTTGAAATAAAATTATATTTAATATGAATTTTGGAAATCAGTTGTATTTAGCATTTTTTTTTATTGTGGGTAGTATTTTGGTCAATCAAAAATGGAAATTTTCTTTTGAAAATTGGTTTGTTACACTTAGATAGTTCATCCGATAAAGTGATGCTTCCAGATGATTATAAAATTAGAATATGTGAGGATCGTTTGGGATTGGATAGATGGTCTTAGGACAAGTTATATATTTACACCTAATATATATCTTGCACGTATGATATTTTATCATTAAAATGTGATGGACTTGAAAACCCTACGTATCTCACTAGGTTTCCCAAACCTAAGCCAATGATATTATTACATCACAGGTAGTGGAGCCAAAGTTGAAACTGCCTGGTTAGGATCCTAAATGGAATAAAGAATAGGCTTGCATTATTGATTTTAGGACCTTTTTATTTGCGTTGCCGCGTATGTTCAAATATAAACGAAGGACATCATGAAGATTTTAATAAAATAACTTTTGTTATTTCAAAAATGTTTATTTAACTAGAAACTTCTGCATTTCAATACTTAAAAGCATAAAGAAAATTTTTTAAATTGGTTTTGAAAAATGAGGGATGTCACGTGCTCCATTCAAAATACCTAAACATGACATAAAAATACGAGCAGTACAGGAATTCCAGTGAAAAACATGAGTTGAACAATATTTAAACTAATGCGTACACAAATGCATAAAATATGGTACAAAATGCTAATAAAAACTAATATAAAAGATGCATAAAATGACATATACAGGTATCGTATATGTCCATATTACAAGCATCATAATTTTTTCTTACCAACTTGGAACTGGTTTGAAGCAAACCGACAAAACCACCTTGAGGTGATTACATGGTCAGGATTTGGCGAAGGGTTATATCCAGTGTTGCAAAACTCGGCCTACTCGGCCGATTACTCAGAATCGGCCCTCCACCGAGGCGAGTAATGTCAACTTGGCCAAAAAACTCGGATTTAATCAAAATCGGCCAAAATCGGTCAAACTCGGTCAAAAATGGCCCTCCACCGAGGCGAGTAATGTCAACTTGGCCAAAAAACTCGGATTTAATCAAAATCGCCAAAATCGGTCAAACTCGGTCAAAAATCGGACAAACTCGGTCAAACTCGGGCCTACTCGATCAAACTCGGGCCTACTCGGTCAAAATCGGTCAAACTCGGTCAAAGGGTCAAAATTATCATAAAAAGAGAAAAAAGTCAAGAATTTCAAGATTAATATGTATAATGCACTTAATGATTTATTATTTAACACAGACATGTGATTATTATAACATGTATATCTTAAATTTTCAGTAATTATCCACGTAGTGAGATAATTATGTGTATTTCAGTTTTTTATGTATTCACATGTATCTAATTTTGGTTATATATTTCAATCAAATTAGTATTTTAACTTATGATTTTGACATATATAATTTTCTAAAAAATATTTCTACGTGAATTACCGAATTCGAGTACTCCCGAGTACTCGCTACTCCCCAGTCGGCCGAGCAGGTACCGAGTAGCGAGTTGTACAACCTTGGTTATATCTAAAGTTTTTTTTTTGGGGGGGAGGGGAGGTATTTTAGTTGTGATCCATGTTTTTTGGTTGTAAAAATGTTGATTGTATATAGTGTAATATGGAAAAATAAAAAAATGATGTAAAAGAATATGAATGTATAGTGTGATTTTTATAGGTAAAATTTGTGTTTTAAAAAAAAATTATTTAAAAATTAGATGTTGAAACTTGAACGGTCCTTTCATCTGTCAAAATGAAAAGCCCCACTCCCATTGGTGGTTTAGCTTTGTGGTGAGCAGCACAATCGAACACGACAATCACAAATCACAAACGTTCAAGCCACGGTTGTGACCAGCTAGGACCACGAAGGCCCTTCATGGTCCGTATACTAGAAACCTTTTAAGACATTAAAAAATGAGCTGGATCCAAACTCTACGGAGAGACCCACTTTCGACAATGACTCAAAAAAAAAAAAATGCAAAGTATTTCATCAAAAACATTTATGATTAACCTTAAAAAGCAAAAGGAAATTAAACAATAAACAACTCAAAAATGGAAAAAATCAATTTCAATAAATTGCCAAAACACCAATAACTACAAACTTCCAAAAATTGAACCCTTTGAAGCACACAATCATGTCTAAATATAAATCTCCAATCCACCCACTTGTAATTCCCCATTCTCTCTCTCTAAAAGTCAAAACTTTAGCTTGTTTCTGTTTTCGTTTTATGTTGATTTCTTGATTTTCTTGAATTGGGGACGCATGCATCTGTGGAAAATCAATTTGATTTGATTCATAAATCACAAAAAAGGACATGTACTTTTATGGGTGTGATTGAGGTTTTCCTCGGAGAAATCACTGAATCTTGCAAGTCAAACACTAGTCAACAAACAGTCGACGATGCCTAGTTCAAGTAGCGTTTCTCGGAATTCGACCGCCGGCGGTGATAGTAATGTCACGGACCAGTTTCCGGCTGGTTTACGAGTGCTTGTTGTTGATGACGACCCAACTTGTCTCATGATCTTGGAGAAGATGCTAAGAAACTGCAAATACGAAGGTAAGTACAACCATACACTAAACGCACACCAACTGTTTGTGAAAAATCCTCACTGATTTATGAATTATGCCGAGAGTTACTAAATCTGGGTTTTTATTACTTCGATTAGATCACGGTTTTTGTAATATAATATGATTAATTTTCTTTACGCAATCCTCGATTCGATTTTCAATTTGCTTTTGTTACCCACTTGAAAATCGTTTATGTATTTATGATTTGTGTATAGATTTGAAGTAACTGATTCTTAGATCTTATAAATTTGCAGTGACTAAATGCAATAGGGCCGAGGTTGCTTTATCTTTACTGCGGGAAAACAAAAACGGATTTGATGTGGTGATTAGCGATGTTCATATGCCTGATATGGATGGATTCAAACTCCTTGTACACATTGGGCTTGAAATGGACCTTCCTGTTATCAGTAAGTCAACCACTTTTCAATCCTTTTCATGTTTCTTGATTTAAAAAAAAAAAAAAAAAAAAAAATCCATGATCTATTTGTGTCCGAGATTTTCTTGGATGTGATCCTTGTTTGTAAATGTGATTGAGACCGTTTACAAGCTTTCCAGGACTTTTTTTCTTTTTGATGATTTTGATGCCGAGGGCATTCTCGTCTTTTGGTTTGATAAAACTTAACCATTTAGTGTTTAATGATATCAACTTCTTAATGGTTAAGAGAAGGTAGGGTTCCTTAACTATTTATAGATTTTTTATTCCGCTATCCAACACAACACAGTGAATGCCGACTGATTTAGAGGTGACCTTTGAATGGTTCTATTAAGAGGTTGTCAGATAACCCCAAATTTTTATTTTTGTCTCACCATGTTCCATCTGTCCCATTGACATCAGTTATAGTTTAGTCCAATCAATCCCAAACACACTACAACCTTATGTCCCATCATGTCAAGGTTAACAAACAGGACAAAACTTAGTTGTCGTGTCTATTAAAGTTCCAATATTTTACCCAAATTTACGAAAAACTCCCAAACTAAAATTTATTTACGAAAAAGCATGAATTACCTGTAAAAATAACGATTTGACCTTTTTTTTTTTTTCCTGGTTTACCGGTTTCATTGCTAACCTGGTTCCATTAAAGTCTTATTATTTTACCTTAATTTACGAATAAGTCCCAAACTAAAATTAAGTGATGATTTGGCCCTTTTCTCCCTGTTGTAATATTGCTGATGTGGACGTTTAGTCATTAAATGAGCTGATGAGATGGATAGGACAGGTTACATAATGGTAACTGAATACAGAATGAACAACTTACCAGAGAAAGTTAGCGAAAAGACAATCTACTCCTTTTAAAGAATTTTTGACTTTCGTTATATTTGGTTAAAATTGATTTTTTTTTTTTTTGTATAGTGATGTCAGCGGATGACAGCAAGAGTGTAGTGATGAAGGGAGTAACACACGGGGCATGTGACTATTTAATAAAGCCAGTACGTATAGAAGCATTGCGTAACATTTGGCAACATGTGGTTCGAAAAAAGAAGCGTGAATGGAAAGACATTGACACGACAGCAAGTTTGGATGATGTGGACAGGAAGGAGGAGAAACAGGCTGAAGATCCGGACTACTCGTCTTCTGCAAACGAAGGGCATAATTGGAAAAACACAAAAAGGAGGAAAGATGATGAGGATGAAGGTGAAGGTGAAGGTGAGGAAAGAGATGATTCTTCTTCTTTGAAGAAGCCTCGTGTTGTTTGGTGTGTGGAACTTCATCAACAGTTTGTTGCAGCTGTTAATCAGCTTGGAATCGATAGTATGTTTTTTATTGAGTAAATTACACAAATGGTCCTTATGGTTTGGGGTAATTTGCACGTTAGGTCCTTAACTTATTTTTTTAACTCGGAAGGTCCCTACGGTTTGTATTTGTTATGTGCTTGGTCCCTACAGTTTGTTTTTGTTACGTACTTGGTCCATGTCTTACCTAAAACGACTATTATTTAAATAAGAAAAAAAAAATGGTGGGGTAGGTAAGCTAAGGTGAGTGGGGTGGGGTTGGGTGTGTGTTTACTTAAATAAATTAAAATATCAAGGGAAAAATAGTATATTTAGGTAAGATAGGGACCAAGCGCGTAACAAAAACAAACAATAGGGACCTTCCGAGTTAAAAAAATAAGTTAGGGACCAAACACGCAAATTACCCTAAACCATAGGGACCATTTGTGTAATTTACTCTTTTTTATTTTATTTTTAAATAATTTTTTAAACATAATCAGCTTGTTTCAGTGAGTTGTTATGAAATTACTAATCTGTCCTTCGTGTACTTGAATCTTGTTTACGCAGAAGCTGTTCCTAAGAAAATATTGGACCTCATGAATGTTCCTGGAATAACACGTGAAAATGTTGCTAGTCACCTTCAGGTAAAAATTTTAATCCTAAACTGAACTAAAATTTTTTTAATTAATTTACGTTAAACATGATTGATTTTGGTTTTTTGTTATTCAAATATTTACAATTACATCTTCCTAAATTATTTTATTACAAAATTAGATTATTGTTTTAGTGATATTTAATATATTAAACCCCAAATATCGGTTTTTTCCTAAATTATTACTCTAACAGTATAGTTTTACTTTTTATAATTGTATTTAATATTTATAACATTTGGTGTAGAAATATCGTCTTTATCTTAGAAGACTCAGTGGGTCCCACCAATCAGGCGGAAATACCCCCTCGTTTTTCAGCACTCCCGATGCGGGATACGGATCAATTTCAACACTCAGTGATCTTGAAATTCAAGCTTTAGCCGCCAGCGGGCAGCTTGGTCAACTCGGTCAACTCCCGGGTCAAAGTCTTGCCACCCTCCAAGCGGCGGCACTTGGCCGGTCAGGCTACCCAAAATCCCCGATTTCCGTGCCTTTAATTGATCAAAGAAATATTTTTAGCTTTGAAAACCCTCAATCAAGATATGGTCAAGTCCAAAACCGCCAGGGGCATAATGGTAATATCAACAGGCCGATGAATTTGCTTCACGGGATTCCCACAACTATGGAGCCAAAGCAACTCATGGGGATGCAGGGTTCTTTTGCAGGGTTGACTAGTCAAGGTCTGATTCCCTTGACCGGTCAAAGTCAAAGTCAAAGTCAAAGTCATGTCTCTAGACATCCCGTTTTGCCTGGACAGGTAGTCTCCTCACCTGGGAATCATGTAACCGAGTCAACCGGGAATCGTTTTCAGCTTAGGGGTAGTTTGGGAATTCCAGGTTATGGTCTCGTAAACAATGGAAATCAAATTCAAACCAGACCTTTACAAGGGGCAGATTTGACCTTTGACCCTTCGTGCCATATGAATAAAAATATTCAAGGCCAAGGAGGATTGAATGTGGTTCAACATAACAACTACGATTCTGGTCAGAAAATCGGGGGTAGTAAGGTCATTTTCTCAACAGGGGAAGGAAGTGAGACACATGTTGTGGACAATTCTTCAATGCTTAAGGCCGAAAAGGTCAATTACAAAAGCACATTTTGCCCTGAAGAATACAGTCAAGATGATCTCCTAACCGCAATGTTTACACAGGTTTGTTACAACTGTTTTTTATTTTTTATTTTTTTCTATTAGAGTATTGTACGTTTTTCTTATTATTTATTTATTTGTTTATTTATTGGTATTGAGCAGCAACAACAGCAAGAAGGCATTGGACAAGGGGAAAACGAATTAGGGTTGGATTGGTATTCACTGGATAATCTCCCGGTGTAAGATGTGCTTCAACAATTGGACATCGTGCATTATCAGCCGTACATAGTTTAGTTTTTTTTTTTTTTTTTTTTTCAGCTGAATTTTCAAAGATTTATAGGTTGTTTATTATGATATATGCAAACGCATATTTGCAGATAATTTGTTTTGTTTAGGTAGTTGATTGATTAACTTTGTGAGTTGGATTTGAGGGTATTTGCAGAAAATTGAATTAGTTTTAGGTTAACTTCATGCTTTTGCTTGTTTTTGAATATTTAAGATATTATTTTTTGGAAATTATTTGTTGGATTAGTGATGTAAAATGTTGTTGGTTTTTTATCGATTTGAATTGTATTATATTGTTTAACTAGGTGTAAAACCGGTGTGTTACACGGGTTAATTAAAAAAAATAAAATATTAAAATTTAAAGACACATACAAGTAATACAACAACAACTCGATAACTCTACCCTTAAGTATGAGCGTGTTTGAGAGCTTATAGTTTTTAATTTTTAACAAAATGTTCAGTTAGGCAAAAAGTTTTGTTTGTGAGTATGAATGTAACATTTAAAAAAAAACCATTGAGTCTTTTAATTAATTTTCATAATTATATTTAAAAATATATTTATATATTTATCTTTCTTAAACAATTATTTTTATACAATTTTATCCATTTCAAAACATTCCAAAAGGTTTCAACTATTTTTACCAAATACTTATCTAACAACTAAAAGCTATAGATCCACGTATCAATTATTTTTTTTACCCAACACGAGTTTTAATCAATGTTCTAAATAACGTAAGGCGTGGTTTGGCGGCAAGATAAAAGTTAAGTGACAAGCTTTGGTGAGTCATGACGTTTTTCAAGAATTGACTATATTATACATTAAAAGATATAACTCATATAATTATTGAATTTTATCAAGTATATATGAAGTTTTTAGAAGTCTTATATTAATATCTACACCACGCCTTAACTATATTATATACATTAAAAGATACAAACCCGTTTGGGACGTTTTCGTAATAGCTACGCCACGCCTCGCGCTATGGTACGCCTTGAGGCGCGCTATGACGCACTTTTTAGAACCATGCTTTTAATACACAAAATAAGATTGTATACTTTCTTTTTCTTTTAAACTTTTTTTTGGCATATATATATATATATATATATATATATATATATATATATATATATATATATATATATATATATATATATATATTATATATATATATATATATATATATATATAAGAGTTTTTACAATTATTAATATTCTCAAAATATATCAATCACGATTAAACCCTAAACCATGATGATGAACACCTAGGAGCTAATTCGTTCTTATAATTTTATGTCCATCAATATTTACGTAATTAATTTTCATGTAAAGTATTTATGATTTCAATTTTCAAACCTTATTTAAAGAAAGACAACACTGCAAAAATGGTTCATGTGGTATGTATTTTTTCTAATATTTAGTTCAAACATCGATTTTTTTGACTTTATGATTGTTTTAGCCATGTTTCAATGTGGTTTTAGGTCTCGTTTGATAATTTTTGTCTGGGAAAATGTTGTTTGGAAAAATATTGTATGAGAAAGTTCTATGACCGAGAAAGAAATTATGTTGTTTGATTGTACATCTGGCTGAATTTGCTGAATGATGAAAAATGACAATATTACCTTATTGTTATATACTTTAATGAATAAATTGTCTGAATAATTATAAAACCATACAAATTATCATATAAAATCAAAATTACACAATACTAATTTAAAAATCCAAATACAAATTGTGATACAAAGTAATTAAACGTAAATAAATTAAAATCCAAATACAATGTCGATTAGGTTGTTTTTAGTTTATTATTTTTCAAGTTGATGTTACATTGTTATTCTTTCTATAATTTTTTTTATAACCCAACGTGTGATTCTTGACCCGGTTTATGTTCGATATTGGTGGAATAGATGTAATTTTTTAAAATAAATTAGAATGATGGTGTTGTTGTCTTAAAAAAAATTAATTAGAAAATTGACTAAAACAAATAAATAATTCAATAAAGTAATATTTATTAATATTAAAATATTATATATTATAAATAATATTTATTAATATATAATAATCCAATAAAAGTGAATTAATCCATAAAAAAGAAACTAAAAAAATTATTTAAGAAATTAATAATCCAATAAAATAAAATTTATTAATACATAAATATTATATATTAAAATTAATATTTGTTAATATATATAATAATCCAGTAAAATAATAATAATCCAATAAAAAAAGAAATTAAAAAAATTATTTAAAATAAATTAGTAATCAAAGAAAGAAAGAGGTGAGGTTTGGGACAAGATTATCTTTCCAGCTCATTCAACTATAAATATATGATTTTTGGGTTTTCTAGGAAAGACATATGTTACCGGGAAAGACCCATTTTTTTGTACAAATCAAACAGTCTTTATTGTCTATTCAGCCAGAATGATCTGTTTGGACCTGAAAAGATGTCTATCAAATGTGGCCTTAGTCCCTTTGAAAACTAAAATCACTATAATACGTTATGTATTTATTTATTTATTTTTCTTTCATTCTTTATCTATTTAAATAATTAAAAAATAATAAAACTCTCATCTCTCTCATACCTTCTTTGTTCTCGTTGAACCTCTCAAATAAACCACTGAAGACTCAATGTTTCCAATGATCTCCACCCTCGAATAACCCATCATCATTGATGATTCTTCATTCACCGCTCAACACACGACTGCAATTTGCTTCCTCCTCGCACACCGTCGCCGCCTACTCCTTCCTTTGTTTGCCCTAACCCGTTTTCCCTCTAATCGTCGCCAATACACCTACTCCTTCCCTTCTTTGCCATAAATCCTCACATGAACTCACCGATTTCTCTCCATCAGGCACCAATGACGAACTTTGGAAAGTACAATTATTTATGCTTGGAATTCATCAATATATAACTGTCGCTTCCATTCTTTTTACTGTAATTTTTGTTCCATCGTGTTCATCGGAAAAGTTTTTGGTTATGTTTTTTAGAACTTGAACAGAGAAGGGGAATCGATGCTCGGTCCAGGACGTTCAGTAGGAGCGGGTGATGACTCCATTACTGGTGCAGGTGCTGGAGCATTGTGCTTCTTTGATCGGAGACTGACCAATATGGGTGGGGAACTCACTGGCTTTGCAACAGGCTTTATTATAGGTTTGATTTTGATTTTAGGTCAGACCGGTGATGTTTCCCCTTTGTATCTAAAAAAATAGATTCTAAAACTGGTTTGTACAAGTAAGGGTGTTTACGGGGCGGTTCTGTTCAGATAGTAAAAAATTTATGAACCTTGACCACAGGACGGGTACCTAACATGCACTAACCGAAACTGAACCGAATTATGAAATAAACTGAACCGAACTGAACTGTATGAAGGCGGGTAACCACGGTGCGGTTCATGGGTACCCGCTAAATACAAAATATAAAAATCATTAATAAAAAATATGAACTATGAGTAAATCATCAAGTCAGATAACTTGTTGAAGTTAAAATTATGTATTATAATTTATATAATAACAATAATAATAATATTAACAATAAAATGTATGAAAGTTCTAAACTATTGATTGAGTTTTGTTCGGGCTATTGGATTGTATGCAGTATCATGGATCAATTAAAAAAAATGTTGATGGAGTGTGGAATGTTCGAATGAAACTGGAATGATATTCTTATCATTTTTTTAATTTATATATATATATATATATATATATATATATATATATATATATATATATATATATATCAATGATGGTTCGTTCGGGTATCCGCAGATATCGAAATAACCAAACCGAATCCGTTCCGTAGATAATCAGTTTTTCCTGTTTCGGATTGACCGGATCGGCTCAGTTTTTTCGTTTTGCGGGTTTTTTGCACACCCCTATGTACAAGGGTGGGGAACTACTGGGAGATGAAGGTGAAAGAATGGGGTGATGTGTCTGATCGTAGGTGTTTGATATTCGGGTTCATCAGCGTATGTGTGTGTGTGTGTTGAATCAAGTTCATTAGTGTGTGAAAACTCATAGCAAGTTGAATCAGTGTGTGCAGTTTGTTGAATCGATGTGTTGTGTGTTGAATGTGTTTTTCGGATCTGAGAACTCCAGATTTTTTTTCTAGGGTGGTTCATCATCAATGTATGTGTGTTGAATAATAGTTCGTCTCTGTGTCTATTGAATCATAGTTTTTTCCTTATCAGATTTCGACACTACCTTATCATATTTGGGTTCATCAGTATGGGAAGATAATGGGGAGAGAGAGAGAGAGAGAGAGAGAGAGAGAGAGTTTTATTATTTTTAATTATTTAAATAGATAAAGAATGAAAGAAAATTAAAAAATAAATACATAAGGGTATTATAGTAATTTTAGTTTTAAGAGGGACTAAAACCACATAGAAAACATGATCAAAATGATCATGAAGCCAAAAAAGTCAAAGTTTAGACTAAATCTTAGAAAAAATGAATACCACAGGGGGATCATTTTTGTAGTTTTGTCTTAAAGAAACTAGGAGCTAATTCACCGACTATATATATTAGCATATATATCATTTCCTATTATTGTAATTTATACATTTAGTGTTTATCTTTCCTTAATAAAGAGGATACCATTTATTGTATTTAGGGATAATGTCTTGAAAGTGTAACAAACTTTTAACTTTGTTCATATTTAATCACTAATTTTTTTTTCATGCTTGATTTACCCCTAAATTATTTGAAAATTTTCATATTTCACCCTTATGACCGGTTACAACTAGTCAGCAACCGATCATAAGGGTAAAATGTGAACATTTCAAATAATTCATTGGTAAATCAATCACGAAAAAAGTTTAATAATTGAATATGAACTAGTTGAAAGTTTGTTACCCTTTCAAGTTATTATCCATTTTTGTAATAATCATTTAGTTTATTTTGCTTATTGGTAACAATTACTCAGATTAATAATTTTGATTTCAGTCTCTATGATTTGTTTTGTGTTGTGTTTGTAAGAAATATTACAGAATAGAATGCGTATCTCATAACCATGTTGTAGTTCATTGCTTTAATCCTAGTCAATGAGATAAACTTTTAACTAGACTT